CATGATAGATGAAATGAGTAGTGTGTTTCTTGATATTGTCACTAACCGTGCTGCAGTGCATGACTAAATTATTACTAAACTTGCTAAACACTACCGTCTATGTAAGCATTTCTGATTCTTGAAGTCATCCATCATTTTCTTCACAAAATCCAAAGTAACAACATCTCCCTCTATTCTTGCACCAGAATATTGGGGCTCAACCTCTAGAGTGAAACAGGAAAAACAATTTTCATTAGTAAAACATGGATAAATATACAGATTAAATTCTGAGTTTTATATGTATGTAAATCTTCGCAGTGGTCCTCTACACATATATACATTAAATGCATACATATTTAACCACAAAAACAAGCACTTCCCATTGATTTATCACACTCATACACTGGTGCTCAGGATTCTAATAAATAACTGACATGCACCAGACACAAATGAAATTAGGCTACGGCAAATAAAATGTCATTGAATTAACAATGCCTTTTGCAGTCCAGTCATTTTATTTAATAATATACTCAAAAGCAATCCTATTAAGAACTTAATATCAACAAATGAATTCTCCAATTGATTTTCAGTAAATGCTTTTCAAAAGAAATGACGTCTTAGAATTATTTGAGTTGTTGCTACTAGTATGATGATTAAGCCTACGTCAAATATTCAACTTAGTAAAGACACCACTACCACTGAAGGTATCCCACCAACAAGCCCCTAAAACCACCAGCATCACCACAATAGCTGCCACCACTGTGGCTGGTGCTGGGCCTACCACCATCACTATTGCTGCCACAACTGCTACAGCCACTGCCGCTACAGCCACTTGGGTGGACACTGATGATGTACTGGGGTTGGTCCCTATTATGTGAAAATATATGAAACAATAAATATAACACTAGTTAATCATAATATTGTATAGTGAAAGTAAATATTAGTGAAGCTTGCAGGGGAGAGCTGGAGAATATAACATGTATATGCCTAGAACCCACTACCAAATCTTGAAACATGCATGCATGAACAACTAAGACCAGCCTGTAAAATCTCGTGGTACACTTCCTAAGTGCATAAGTTCTGAAACAGAAAGAAAAAATTATAGTTTGCAAGAGAGAAATGAATAGAAACTAAGATGACATTGACCAATGTGCTTTCTCAGTTAATTACCTGCAATGACACTTCAGTCTTGTAGACAAAAACTCACTTAAAAATATTAAGATGTGACCACCTAACGATACAGGTTGATTAAAAGAGGTACCTTAAAATAAGTTATTCTATCTGTTGGATGCATATACAGAAAAACTTTTTAAAAAAATTCAAACAATATCTGATGCAAGTGGAATATAAAAACCACCCAGAAACCCATCGTAGTCCATTTGATCTAAGAGTCCATTCATCGAAGGCCTATTTCCTTCTCCAATAACTTCCACAGAAGACACAAAGGAACTATGCTCAGCTGTGCCACTGCCTTTTACTTTCATGTTATTTAAGATAATCAACATGTCAAATACCATCTTTGATCTAACCCAAAACAAATTTAAGACTATAATCCACAGCTCTTTCAGTAAACATAATGATCCACAAGTTTCCTATTACATCTATCAATTTGATCAATATCATTTATTTCAATTCTCAACAGGCATCATAATCCAGGTAGAAAGAATGCACCTCCATGGCCTCAAGCTGGCCAATCTTTTAATGCGAAAACCATTTGGTAACAAAGAAACAAAGATCTTTTTTCTTTAGAAGAAAAAGGAACTGATATTAAAAGGCACCAACTGGTATCAGCTATTTTCCAGCTATTTACAAATCTCACAAAGAGCACATCTATTAAATCAACAAAATTGATGCCACATTGTATAGAACAACCATTAAGCAATATATAGGGTCCTAACGCAATCATTCTAAATTGAAGCAAAGGGAGGGCAAATTTTCAAAGCTCTAATGTGTCTCTCTTTCCAGTGACCCAAAAGATGTCATGGGAGATGTTGGAAAAAAACTTCACTCTACACTTTACATCTGGAATCTTCGCATGCCATGACTAATCCTTGGTAGAACCGCTTACCACCCAGTTGAGGTTAAGGAAATTGAGAATTGAATCCCAAAGCCTTCTAGTTTCAAGGCAAAAGAGGAGATAGCTTAGGGATTCATTATCACCATTAGATAAGAAATACCAGTTCCCCAAAATTTACCTCCTCCTGGAGTTGTCAATAGTTAGGATCCTTTTCTATATTGGGAGAAGTTTTTGAAAGAGACTTAGTGGAAGATTGGGAGGGGTAACGTCTTTAAAATTTTGGGAGGATGAGTGGTTAGGGAGGGATAGTCTCAAAAGTCAATTGCCAAGAATTTATAGCTTAGCGATGAGGAAGGATGTAGAAGTGGGGAAGGTGTGGAGTTGTCAATAGTTAGGATCCTTTTCTATATTGGGAGAAGTTTTTGAAAGAGACTTGGTGGAAGATTGGGAGGGGTAACGTCTTTAAAATTTTGGGAGGATGAATGGTTAGGGAGGGGTAGTCTCAAAAGTCAATTGCCAAGAATTTATAGCTTAGCGATGAGGAAGGATGTAGAAGTGGGGAAGGTGTTTAGGGAGAGGGATGGGAGGAATGGATGGGATATTGACTTGGTTAGAAATTTGAATGATTGGGAGGTCGATGAGTTTACAAGGCTTCTACAAGTTCTTGCGGATGTTCACTTAGATTCAGACAAAGATATAGTTATTTGGACATTCAAGAAGGACGACAATTTCATTGTGGAATCCTTCTATGAATTTTTAGCATCCAAAGAGGACAACAGTAAACAATTCCCAGTTCAACAGATATGAAAAGTAAATGCGCCACTGAAGATTGCTTTTTTTGCTTGGGAAGCATGCCGGGAATGTATTCTCACTATTGACAAGTTGATGAAAAAGGGTCACATTATGGCTAACGAGTGCCATCTTTGCATGAATGTTGCGGAATCACGCAATCATCTTCTTCTTTAGTGACCGGAGACTTATAGTTTATGGTTTATGGTTTATAGTTTATTGGGTATAAATTGGGTGATGGAGAATCGGCGAAAAATGAGTTGTGGGCTTGGGGTGAGATTAAAAATAGTACTAAGTTTGTTAAAATAATTCCTTTGTCTATTTTTTGGGTTGTTTAAAAAAAGAGGAACAAGAGAGCTTCCAATGGTTGTGTGAGGGATATTTGTAGAATTAGAAATAGATTACTTCATAGTTTTGGAATGCTAATTCTTGGTCATAACATGCACAGGTGGGATGATTTTGAGAAAGTTATTGATGCTATAACCGATTTATAAATTCTCTGTATAGGGGCTACACCCCCTTGGTGTCATATACGTAATATACAGGTTTCTTTATCTCAAAAAATATTGCTTCCATATAAAGAAAACGATTATGGTGTTGCCTCCATCTTCCACACTTACTTCTATGATAAATACTCCTATGTCTTATTTGGCATGGTCAATAGGTGTATAAAACTTCTCTCCTTCAAGAGTCTTTGGATTGAAGAGCACTATACCCTATCTAGAAAGGAAATCCAATTATTAACCTTACGAGCATTCAAATTCTATAGAAGATGGATACTCCACACCATAGACCTCAAAGAATCTGAAAACTTTGGCCTCCTTGTGATGAGCATTAGCTCAGATAAAAGGAAATACCTCTTTGAAAGGTCATAATGGATGCTCCACACTAATCACTATACACCTCAAAACAATCCAGAGCCCTAGCCTTCATTAGATTACATTAAAAAAAAATGTCTCTCAAAGACCTATCACTGCAAAAATTATAATCCTAAACTTAATCTGCTTTTCATTCCCAACCTCAAAACAAGTATGAGTATTCCCACTGATTTAGATGGGAATACAAAAGACTAAAACCCTACCCGACCTAGAATACCTATCATCCACCAGTAAGCCAAACTTAATTTTAGCAACCTTCCACCAAATGGAGTCCCTAAACTAGAAAAAACACCATTTTTACTTAACCAATAAAGCTTGATCAAAACCCCACAAAAACCCGATACCCAACCCTCTTCTCCCCATAGGCTGTTTTACTTCACCCTCTTCTCCCAATTCAACCTCATACCCAACCCTACTTCAGCATTTTCCATCAGAATTGCTCATCAATTAATTCAGTTTGGCACGTAACTGAAGTCTAGTTGATACTAAACACGCCACAATAGTCCAAAGTTTTAGAACAAAGAACCTCATCAGCAAAGGAAAACATCAAATATTCGGAAACCATTCACCTTATCATAAGCCCAACAGCCTAGCAGTCAACAGTTTCATAAAATGCTTTAGCATTCTTTATTGTAAAACAAACAACTGATTCTTATATTTGATAGCATGGTTACTCCAAGTTGCACTAGCGATGCATGAAAATCTACATTAATTCAAACTATGAAATTATTGGTCACGAAATCTGAATTCTAAAATGTTTAAAAATATATCAAACAAAGACTTTATACTAATAACTGGGATAAATTAAAAAAAAAAAAACTATTAGGAATCAAGATGGGAATGGAAGATAGATAAGCTAATGTCCCACAAAAGTAAACGTGTAACCGTGCAACTAGCAAAACTTCCTCTTAAAGGACAAAAGAATAAGGCTTCTACTTTCTGTTTCTCAGAGAATGTAATGCAGCTTACTACAATTTAAGGTTCCTTTTATTCCCTACCAACAATACCCTTTTTTTAGGAGGAAGAAGAGTGTAATTGTTGCTAGGGGAAAAAAAGGAACGTTAAATTGCAGTCGCTAGCAAGCATTACCATAAACAGAAACTCATCAAGAGCATGTATTGGGAAAAAAGAAAAGGCACACATCAAAGAGCATGTAGCAAAGACTTAAGTGAAAAATACAGAATCTAAAACCATTTATGCTGGAATTTGAACATGCCAATTTAACAGATCAGACCTAAAATGAACTTAAGGAATGGGAAAAATTAAATGCAAAGAAGATCCAGAAACAATAAACAGAAACTTAGAAAGAGATTGTATTGGGAATAAAAAACACTCAGCAAAAGCATATAGCAGACACTTAAAGTGAAAAAACACAGCATCTAAAATAGTATTATGGAATTTAAGCATGCTGATATTTAAGAGCTCAAACCCAAAATGAATTAAAAATGGGAAAAATCAAAATACAAAAAAGATGCAAAACTGAAGAAGGGATCAACCAGAGGGCAAAATAAACAAGTACCTATAGAACGAAAATCAATTGAATCAGCTACTGAAATCCTTTGGCTCTCGGGTATAGAAATTGCTTCTTCAAATTTTAGCTTCATTACTGCTTTCTCGCATTCCTTTAACTTTTTGGAAGCATCAGGATCATTAGGACAGATTTTCTTAACCTATGTCAAAATATACCAACAAACAAACTAATTACATTTGCACAATCGAAATAATATCATACAGTTAATTTTGTGTAATTACATGCTTCTTGCAATATATCACAAGAATGCAAAAGATAACCATCAGTCCAGAATATACAATCATTATGTTCTTATTTGAGCAAACAGCATGCTCTTGACAATAACATATCAAGCTGTTGAAGAAAATATTCCTCTAGATTGACAACCATACTAGGGTAATGATGTTTATTAGATAAAATACATCCTTCTATCACTTTTATGGATTAGTGCACATGAAGTATTTGATGAAAATTTTTGTTCTTTACATTTTGGTGCAAAAGGAGTACTTCTGATAATAGATCTACTACTGTCATTTGACAAAATCCTAAGAAAGACGAATAAACTGATTAAATTTTATCATGCATGAGACCGATCTAAAATAATTATCAATTGATGAGATTGAAAATCTATGTATAACTATGCTTTTATCCACTTATACAAGAGAGCTGCTGAATTTTGTAATCACATCCTTCTTTGGTGCCCAATGGCATCTAACATTTGGACTTTGGTGTATGGTCTCCTAGGACTTCATTGGGTCATTGAGGGGTTAGCGAGGAAGGAACTCTAGGCATGGAAGGGTTTTCGTAAAAAAAAATTATCTTAAAATTATTCATTTGACTATCTTTTGGATGGTGTGAAAAGAGAGAAATGCTAGAGCTTTTGAGGGGAGTGAGGGGGAGATGTCAAGGGTTAGGGATAGATGGTTACACACTTTTGGATCAATTATTTTGAGCCATAACATTTATAGGTTGGAAGATTTTGGAAAGTTCATAGATACACTAATTGACTTATATATATCTTGTACAGAGATGGCACCACCTTGGTGCCTTTACTTTATACTATTCTTTCTTTTTATCTCAAAAAGAAAAATAAAAAAGGAATAGGCTTTGGCCCTTTTCTCTTGCAAGGTCCCAGGGGAACTTATGGAGTACAATTTAGTTATGCCTTTGTTATGGCTCAAAGAGTGAATTTTCAAATTTTTTTTTGCAATGATGGAGTGAAGGGAAGAAACAAGAGGGATGAGGACGTGAAAGATAGGAATGCAGGTGTCATTAAATCTAATGGATACTATCCACGTCAAGACCTCCTAATGGATCATCAACAACATTGCCAGGATTAACAACTTATTGGGACTAGCTTAGAGGGGTTCAAAAAGTTGATAAAGTATTTCCTTCATCATATTGAGCTTTAGTAACTTTAACTTTAACCTTGCAATTAGGGTAGGAGGAAGCCCAACAAATTGAGTTTTTCACAAAGTCAACAACATGCATAAATGAGAAATTTGAGCCAAAAAAAACACTTCTTTTTCAAACAACATAACAGCCAATTCGAAAGTCACAAAAAGGCAGCAAAAGATAACAAGGAAAATACTCTATGATTGACAATAAAATGCAAAAACAGTTACCTGTTGGAAATCCTTAAGTGCTTCTTTAAATTTTCCCATGGCAAGATAAGCAGCACCACGCCTATAATAGCCCTATGTTTAAAGGCTTATTAGACACACAGACATAATGGTTTTGGAAACACAAAGATTTAAATACACATGACACACCTTTGAATATTTGGGATCAATTTCAATAGCCTTTGAAGCATCTTGTATGGCACTACCATACTCCTCCAATTTTGTATGAGCAAAAGCACGGTTGGCCCAATACACAGCATTATCATTATTTAGTTCAATTGCTCGTGTATAAAGATCAATAGCCAACGCATATTTGCGTGCTGAAAGCAGTGGACAAAAAAGACAAGAATGAATGCATAAAATCTGGCAAAATAAAGGGTGTAACATAGACATAAAAGGATTGAAAAAGGGATGGGATATGCAGAAGTATATATCAGCACCTTTAAATGCATCGTTGGCTTGGACCTTGATCTCTTCAGCTCGCAAGACATTTGAATTTTCAGCTTCCATGCTGGGAACAAGCCTTTTTGTTTTATCAACTTGGGTTGGAGTTAGCAAGTAACCACTTTCATAAGAACAACATCTTTCACCATATAAAATGATTTCTCTACTCCATGAAAAACAATAAAAAATTTTGGAAGCAATCCATGTTAACCCTTGAGGAAAAGAGGGAACAAAAATGGCACTCTTATTATGGAGAATCTAAATGAAACCAGATGATTTCTTAACATAAAAACCAAAATATTGGTTGTAATAAAACTTTAACAAACTAAATACCGTTTGTTCACCTGCCATGCAGTCAAGTATTAACATATACTATTATCATGGTACTACCACTCATGAATTACTACAGAGAGATAAATTGACATTTCCAAAGAAAATCAGGAAACAATAAGCAATTAAGGATATGGACGCTGCAGTTTCAATGGGCAATATAATCATCTCTCTCTTGAAATTTTGTAGGTTAATAAGGTTGGTTCTCATCACAAGGGCATCGAGTATTGAAGGGAAGGATGGTTTTTCAGAATGTGAATGATAACATGCATTCATCTACTTCCTGCTTGGAGTTGGGAGGATTTGATTGTTTAGAAAGACATCCACCAAAGAGATTACTCATTGACAGCCTTTGGTCAACACTGAGTTCAGAAATAACGGTTCATAAAAAAGAAATGGTAATATAAGGATGTTGTTCTGCAATGGTGCGTAGACAACTGGACCATTCGCACTTGAAAGAATTTATTATAGTAAGGAAATTTTACGAGAGAAGAAAAGGTAGAATCAGATATCGAGACACATGTAAACACATGTTTCCAATTCCCTGCCCAATAATACATAAAGTACCTTTACTTGCACCATAAAAAACACAAAATCTAATTACTCCAAAGATATATCAAAATGGACATGCCTAATTCATTTTCACTTATCTGTCCATGAAGAACAACCTAAAGCCATAACATGACAGATGAGCGTACACTGCCACAACCACAACCTAGTTTTCCCGTACGCCAGTAATCCTAAACATTGGCGGCAAAGAAACTAACAGCAGAAGAAGAATATTAATAATAGAATAAAGAGATATACAAAATCAAACAATGCAGTCAAGGTTAGTTTACTTCAGTTCGGTTCATTGAGAGCCAAGTTACCTGGTGCTAAATTATTAAATTCTATTGCATAAGTTGGCGTTCCTCGATCACAGACTAAGAGAGGGAGAACGAGAGAGAAGATAACAGAGTAAGGCAGTTGGAGAAGGTGCGTGGGAGAGAGGAAGTGTGGAAACCCTAGATTGTTCCGGCCTTGAGAGAGAGAGAGAGAGAGAGAGAGAGAGAGAGTTCTTCTGTGCTATTTTTGTTCTAATTTGTATAATCTCTGAATTTATATTTTAATTATTATTTTCCGATAGCAATATTTTGTTTTCATTTTATTGACCCGACAATTCTAGAAATTCCGAATATGAAATATCAGCCGGAAATTATTTTTTATTTTATTATGTTCAACATAAAACAAAACTTGTATTTAATTTTAATAATTTAAAAATTATGAGACTGTTTAAAAATCATTTAAGTATATAATTTTTAATAATTTAAAAGTCACGGCCTATTTAAAATTCAATCTAAAAGTCAATAAGTAAATATGTAAATAATATAAGTTATAAATATTTTTCGTCGAGTCAGTAATTATAAATGTAACAGCTCCGGAAATTTAAATGAAATATATGTATTAAAAATGTCAAATACGGAAGCGTAATAAAAATTTTGATTAGCATCCTTTACACAATAACTAAAACGAACTCAAAACATGAAAGAACAAATTAACTAAAAGAAATACTCGAAATAAGAACTATAAATATAACTATGGAGTCTTTAGACGTCCCCTTCGCCGTCTTCCTACGGAACGGGCTTGGGAACAATGTCTTCATGATCTGAAATAATTAAATAAGGAATGAGCTACACCAGCCCAGTAAAGACATCACACTATCTCATCGCCACGTAAGTAAAGGTGGGTATAAAATAAAATGACCAATGGAGCATAATTTATAACAAATTCTTTTATCAATAATAAAATCATTTACTGTCCACTTACCTCAGTGAGATCCATGAAAACAACATCTGAAAATAATAACCTTACAATATCATGAAATCATATATACTTTATAACACAACATATATCACACCTTTACATTTCAATCATCAGGAAACAGATTTCCTCTTTTACCAGCCTACTAGTATCCCTGAAGATCCATATGAGGTCCCCTCTGCACGTGAATCCTTAACATTTATAACCTGATTCCAGGGCCGTCCCCATACCCTGTCCGGTATGGGTGCCAAAACACATAAGGTCTCCATACGCCGTCCGGTATGAGAGACCACGTTTCCGGTAGGGTTCCTTACGGACCCGGTCCGTCCACTATCTTCCAGGATATCTAGTCAGGCTGTCCACATTACCCATTTATCAATTCACATAACTTTTTTCCTTGATTTCAATCATCTAATCATACACAACATGTAAACCAGTAATTGACACCAAACATGACAACACAATATCGGGTTAATCATAATATCAACCATAATAAAAGAAACTATGATTCATGCATACGAGACCATAAAATAAATACATCAAACATCATGCTGTATTTAATACTGAAAATTAAATCAAACAATAACAGGCCAACACAGTATCAGACTCGGGCTCCATTGGCAACCTTAATCAATTATACATCTATAAAATCATACAGTACAGTTTAATTATTTATTTAGCTTTAATACCGTGATAGGAAATAGGGTGAGGGGTCCTTACTTATTTCGGGGTTTGAATACGGCTCTACAGTGCGCCTACAGGCTGTTCCTAATTTTTCTGAATTTTTTTCGAAAAACTGAAACGCACTACCGGTACCTGCACGTGTCCCAAAAAAATCTCAAATCAGACCTAGGGCCCCTTTCGGCCAATATCGCAATTCCAGCACGGCGGCTCCGCCGTGCTCCGGCGACGGGTGGCGGCAGCGGTGCTCTCGAGTGCGGCGGCTCCTCTGGCGTGAGTTGCGTTTTGATGTTTGGCTCTGATCAACCTATAGAGAAAAGAACGGTGATCACAATGGTATAAAAATTGCATCGAACGGATGCGGGGAAGGGCCTCATCGGAGGCAAAAACCGAGGTCACAAGCTTTTATTTTCCTTGGTCAAATCAATTATGTATGACTTTCTCTTCCTTTTTGAGATTCATAAGTTTCTCTCTTCTCTTAATTTTCTAATTGTAATTTATGATAAATTTAAGTTTAGACCATCATTCTTACTGCTAGATTTTAAAACTCGGCTTACTTATACTTTTATGTTTCATTTCTTAAGGCTTATTTATTGATGCAAGATATAACACTATGTCAAGCGATAAAAATAAAATTTGAGTAATATATATCTTTTAGTTCAAAATATGTAATACACAGGTCTGAAATTTGGCTCAGAATTAATTTTAACATTTTAAATATATAACAAAATTATTTTTAAATTACTTTATTTTAATTTTTATTGAATTTATAGAAAAAAATAAGTTATGGATGAAATTGAAAATAATTTTAGAAAAAAGTTGTGAAAATTTGGATTCAGGGGATGTTTTTGAAAGAAGAATCGGAAACTGAGGGTCAGAGTGCAAATAAAAAAAATTTTGGCACGTAGGACTGCCCAGTCAACAACTCTGACGAACCGGAGCACGCTGACATCGATGCCATGCAGGCAATCCGCGCACCCCGCGATCAAACGATCCAAGATCGATCCTGCGCACATGGACGATCCGGATTTGTTCCCCATTTAAACGCGATTGAATGGTCGAGATCAAATCGTGATGAACGGTACATATTCATTTTCTATTTAAATGCAATCGAGCAGTCGAGATCAAACATGATGAACAGCCCAGATTAACACGATATGGGCATAAATATTTCGCATGACACTGAACTCAAATCTTAGCTGCCAGCTTCCCGTCAAATAAGAAGAATCAATCGCCGGAAGAGGGGGTCAACCGCTAACTGTCGTCGCACCGGAGCCATCTCCGACTGCTAAAAAAGATAAAAATTGTCCTACTCACTTGAAATTCGATTCTGAGCACCCATGTGGTCATATTGGAGTAAAACAAACAGCGGGTGAGCTAGAAATACGAGCAAAAACCGGCAGCGTCATCGCATGCAAAACCCGCAACCTCCTCCAATGAGTCCTTTCTCATTTCCCGCTTCATGCAATTTTTTCACCATTGTGTTCACCATTTTATTTTTTACAAGTTGACTGAAGAAAAACTCTCAACCGCGAAGGTGAGCTGGCGGAGTTGTCGCACCCATAAAACTCCAATGCTGATAGGTTTTCGTTTTCTGATTTTTTTCGGCCAACTGAGACCCCATAATGTATTTTTTTGCAGGAATATGTATAAAGTCGGTCGAAAATAATCAGGTCGAAGCAAGGCGGTGGTGCCATCACTGGAGCACTACGGTGCCGCTGTGGCAGAACTCTAAAATTGATTGGAAAGGATTTTTTTACACCAATTTTAGATTCTTATGGTATTTTTAGGTACGTGACAAGTGTTTTAGATTCCGCAAAGATAATTCAGAAAACTTAGGGACCACCAGTAGGCGCAGTAGAAAGTTCAGTATTTTAGACACCGATTCAAGTGAGGATCTCTCACCATTTTGTTTGTTACGGTAAATTGAGGCTTAATAATTAATAATTGTGTATTTTTATAAAAAATTATAGAACTTTAAAAATGATTACAAGTCACTAGTGGAGGTGGAACCGGTTAGTTCACAGTTGTTTCAATTTCTTATTTATTTTCCTATATTGCTTATATTTATTTATTATTATATTGTGCATAACTCAAGTGATAGTTTTTAATATTTGTTTGGTTATTTTGTTATTTGGTTCCCCTGCATTACATGTCGGTATCTCGGTCATTAGTTATTTTGTTGTGTTAAGTTATATTGTTGTTTAAATAAACGGTGAGTATAAAATGAGATATGATTCTTGCATGATTGATTGTTATGCTAATGGAAATCTGTTTAGAAAATACTTATTGGGTATTCGAAAAAAAGCTGACGGGTCCAGTACATAGAGAACCCTACCGTAAACGTTACCTCAGTCATATGGGGCTGAAAAGTCCCCTACTAGTAAGGTTTGGGAGATATGATTCACTTTCATACCGCACGAGATATCGAGGTAATGGAATGTTTGGCGCCATTACCGAACGGAGTATGAAGACGACCGGTTAATTGTTTAATTATATATTAGGTTCACGAGTAGGATAACGTCCCTATGGACTTTTAGGGGTACTGATAAGTGGATAAAAATGTAAAATGATCGTTTCTTATCATCTTGTATGTGATAAATAATAGGACATGAATGAGTTTTCATAAGTTATTGTTGAAAAAGACTTGTTACACAATATAAAATAAATAGTTTTTTTTATAGTAAATAAATTTATATGAAAATAAGGGTTTTATTGGTTATTTTTCTGATTTTTACTAATTTTCAGTTTTTCATATATGTGATTAGTATGATATTATTACTGAACTAGTATAGCTCACTCATTCATTAATTATTTTACATAAAGATAAACAAAATTCAGATTCCGATTAATAAGGGAGTTGTGAATAGTTCACCACCTGTACATCATTCAAAAGCTAGTGAATGTTGTCATAGGATTGCTTAGTTATTTATTTGTCATTTATTTCTTTGATTTTCGTATGTTCTTTTAGAATTAACATTATTGTATCCCTATTGGGCATTATAAAGTATTGTGTAAGAAATATAAACTGTAACTTTATTATTTCACTTTCATATTTAATTTATGACTTTATTTTATTTCCATTTAAGTTCCGAACCTTTACAAAATAAGTTAAAATATATGAACAACTTAAGTGTTATAAATCATTTAATTGTTAAACACGTCAATTTAATAGATTGTTTCCTTACACTTCGAGTAATCGTAGGAGTTTGAGTATATGTATAACATTAATTAAATTTAAGATGCTAAAACTCAATTAAAGAATTTAACAAATGATTATCTAAAGTTAAAACTAAAATTAACTAGTTAAAGTATTTAATCAAATTACCCTTGATTTTAAGAAAATACAATTAAATATTAAATAATTATCATAGACTTATCAATTAAAGTTACTTTTAGTATCTCAATAGATCTTATTTGTACTAAAACAGTAATTAAAAATATTTTAATTGATTAAGTTAAAATAACCTAGTTGAATTCAACTAAATACTTCTTAAGTTCCCAAGTAGACAATAATATATTGGTAATTTAGTATAATCAAGAGCTTGAAATAATAGAAATAATCATTATTATAATATTACTACCTTAAAATGCATAATTAGTCAATATAAAAATAAGTAATCTATTTTTAAAAATTATTTAAACAATTAGCATTAAAATATATCAATCTTATTGTGAAAACAATAAATGTACGAATTAGTTGATGAATACTGGTTTCTCTTTACAGTTGAGTCTCCATCAACATGTTTGGGCGCCTGGTGATTTCCAACATCTTATCACGAATGATGTCATGAGCGTCTTTTGGTTCCAGATGTGCATGAAAAATTCTTAAGTACTCTACACGTTTGTCTATCTTATAATAAACAAAAAAAGTATATCAATCTCACATTGAGTAATACTAAATATTTTAATTAGTTTATAATTTAAAATTTAAAAATAAATACAAATTATTTAAATAAATTAATATAAGAACTATAACTTGAACAAAATACATAAAATTTCCAAAGGATCTTGGTAGCTCTTATCCAAATTCTTGTAAGGCGTCAATATAATACATTAGATTTGATACTAATTAAAATAAATTAAATTGTCCTTCTATTTTTATTTTAATTATAATTTTTAATTTGATTCTAATTTTTTTATTACCTACAAAATCAAAGCACAAACACTTAATTACTCAAAAATTTTAAGAAATATTTTTTAAATTTAGGGTTAGAATATGAGAGTGGTATATGCAAAATTATAAAAATATCATTTTATTTCTAAAAAATAATGCAAAAAAAGAAAGTTATTTGATGGAATGAGCTCGACCAAAGCTTATTAAAAAACTATACAATTTTTTTATTTAAGTTTACCTTTTTAAGCTCGTGAGCTAGGAACGATGAAGTAAGATTTGACCAAAGTTGATCTCGATGTATATGTAAGTTATTTAAAATTTAGTTTTAGTACACGTTTATGTATATATAAAAAAGTATAATAACAAAATAATTTATAGTTGATCTTAGTTTTTAAGTGGTTATGCCTCGATTTATTGGTACGATTTAATATGATAATATTATTACTTAATTTTTAAATAATATTTTAAAATAATTATGACTACTTAATTAATTTAATAAGCTTAATTAATATTATTTCAATAAATTTTCTCATGAAAAGTATAAATTAATAGAAGCTGTTTTTATAATTAAATGATTAAGAATAATTTAATGAAATGAATGTGAGTTAATAATCACCTTCATATATATGATTTATTATTTTTTTAAATATATTTTTTTTATAAATTTCTTATAAAAAGTGTAAATTAATTATTTATAAATAATTAAGACATATTAAATGATTTAAGAATAATTTAATAAAATAAAACTAAACTAGTTATTATTTAATATGTATAAATTTATTATTTTAAGAATAAGAATATTTTTAATCAATAAATTAATAAATTATGTTTTATTATCTTCAAAAAAATATAAAAACTACATTTGTCTTTTGCAACACATGTGAGAGAATAATTATATACTAATAATAAAATAATTTAAATAAAATAATATTATAATTTGAAAATAATTATTTATTCAGTTTTAATAAAATATTTTTATTTATTTTATATAAATTTGTAATTATAAAATTAAAACATAAAAAGAGAGCGGTATTTCCATGTGCTTTTCGTCTATTCCCACTCTTCTTCCGACAAGAATCTCGAGTGGAAAACCAAGAAAGCAGTAGCCCTGGTTTTCCAATCCATCAAGATTGTTGGAAATTGAAGGAAGGAATCAAATCCTTTGTCCTCCAGGATTTGTCCTCAGTACTACAATTAATTGACACACAAACCAGATGCTACCTCCCGATACGAAAATACCAGATATGGAGCCACAGTCGCCAGCTAGGTTCACTTTAGGGAAGCAATCTTCACTGGCTCCGGATCGGCCCGATGAATCCGTCGGATACTTATCTGAGCTGACGATAGACCCCAGGGTTAAGCTCATGTATCTCGCGAATGAAGGAGACATTGATGGAATCAAAGAGCTGTTGGACTCCGGTACAAATGTCAATTTCAGAGATATCGATGATCGAACTGCTTTGCACGTGGCTGCTTGCCAGGGCTTCACCGATGTTGTTTGGTTGTTACTCAGCCGTGGTGCCGAGGTTGAACCCAAAGATCGGTGGGGCAGCACGGTAATATTGTTTCTCACCAGTATCTGGCTCATCTTTTTTCATCTTCTTGGGAGTTGTCTTCCTTTCTTGGTTGTTCTTGTGGCTTGACCGTGGTCTTTTAGTTTATGCTTCCTTGATTTTTTCATCTCGATATTCGTAATCTTGAATTGCTAGTGCTGCAGTAAACAACTCGAGTCTCTTGTCCGTGTCATATTTTATCGTTTACCCCGCTGTGTGTCAAATACTAAAAGAAAAAAGAAAAAGCTATCAGAAATATTTTATATCAAATTATATTGCTTCTTTATTTATTTATCCACTTTCTAGGATGACGGAAAAATGTCGAAAATAATTTCATTTTTTATTCAGCCTCTTGCAGATGCAGTTTATTACAAAAATCATGAAGTGATCAAGCTCTTGGAGAAAAATGGTGCAAAGCCTCCGGTATGTTTTAGCTATATTCTGCTTTTGGCATCTCAACATTTCCTGCAACGTGGACAAATATAGTACTTAGACATGGTTGTTTTTGCTTGACTTTGTTCTATTATATGTTTCTAATCTGAACTATTATTGGCTGGACAAATATAGGAAGCTCCAATGCATGTCCAAAATGCCCGTGAAGTCCCAGAGTATGAGATCAATCCTGGGGAGCTAGACTTTTCTAAGAGTGTTAACATAACAAAGGTAGTTAGCTTCTTTCTTTTGGGATATATTCTTTGGGACCCGGGGTTTTTCCTCTTTTTTGATTAACAT